TTAATAACTTTAATATCTTAGATATGAATATAAAAGGTTATTTATAATACATTGTAATATAATTTAAAACATATATAGTATAAATTTTTTAAATGTCATAAATTAAATTACTTAATAGTCTGGATTTGATTTTTTTAATTTTAGAATATTTTATGAATTTTATTTTTAAATATTTATAAAATATTTAGAATATTTTAAAAAAAAATGAAGCAAGCTTTGAAGGATCTTAAAATAAAATCTATAATGATTGGATATATTTGAATACTATAGAGCAGTTAAATTAATATTGAAAAAAAAAAACAAAACAAAACAAAAAAACTGTGAGAAACTAAAATAAGTAACAAATTGTAGGAAATTAAATGCACGTATATTTTACGGATTGTAGAAACTTGGATGCAGAGAGGAAGATAAGAACAAATCCTTTTGATCCTTGACACCACTTGTAAACCTTGGTGAGGATCAAACTTAGAGTCAAATGATAAACTCATCCTTGAAATAATTCTCAATTTCTAAACTTTTTTCTTTTCTACTTACTATCTTTAAAATATCATAACCATTTCATAGTAACTCTAGTTTTATTTTTTTCAATATTACTAGAAAAATAAAATTTTATAAAATGTTATCAGCTAAAAGATATAAATAGTTAATTTTATTAAATAAAGTTTATAGCTTAGTTAAAAATTATTTAAATCTAAAAAAACTTTAAAAAAAAATTAATTTATTCTATTAAAATATATTAAGTAAAACTACTCATATCGATTAAAAATAATTTATTATTATTAGAAATTATTTCTAATAAAAGATATATATTTTAGTAAGATATTATAAACTTTAGAATATGTTTAAACATCAAACACTATATTATTCAAGTTAATAAACCTATTGCTAATAGATTTTAATTGTCTTTCTTCTACTTGTTTTGTTCTTCATTTTTTTGTTGTTTTTTATTGATTGTGCTTCTCACTTTACACCACTATTTACAAGCAACTCTTAATTGAAGCCATTATATAATTTGGATTGAAATATGAATTTTACTCTCATTTTGGTTCTGAATTTTTTATTATATTGCATAGATTTATGATAAAATATTTAATATTTTATAGAATAATACTTATTTTAATTAATGTATTAATAAATTATCAATTTATTTTAAAATAATGGTTTGACAAAAAAATCCTACGTTTTAGAAATATAAATAAAATTAACTTAAATAATAATATAAATCTAATTATTGATAAATTTAAAATATAATAAATATTTTTACAAAATTAGAATTAAATAAAATATATATAAGATGTTTGAAATAAGTAGATTGCAAAAAAACCTAAATTATTCCAAGAAGAAAAAATAATAATAATGACATGTAATACTTAATCTTATAAAAATATTTATACAAATTTATTATCTGATTTTTTATTCTTATTAAATTAATTAGATGATTTAAGATGATAAAGGAAAGTGGTATAAAATTTGGATGATATTCTTTTTTTAAACAAGTTAAACCATGCCAAAAATAAGTCTTAAAAAGTTAATAGAAAAATAATTTGGTATATCCATAATATATTTAATGATTATATGAAAATTTTAAATTTGGTTCTAAAGATGGGCATGGAACCTATATATATATATAAAATAAATTTTCTTAAAATATTTTTGAAATAATGTATAAATTTTAAAAATAAGTAATAATATTTATATATGCTTTCAATAATATAAATTAAATGATAAGAAAAAGATACAATAAGTAAAACAAATATATGGACTATAAATAATTAGATATAAGATAATAAAATAATTTGATGAAAATATTAAAAGTCAAGGAGTACAAAAATCAATATATAGATCATGTGATAATCTATGATTGAAGCATTGCAATAAGTATACTAGTAAAATTTACTCACCTTTTTTCTTTCTTTCTCTCTGTTTGTTTGTTTGTTTGTTTGTTTGTTTGTTTTGTTTTGTTTTTTTTTTTTTCCTATAGTCTTATTATTTTTAATATCATCCTAATAATTTAGATATTAGATTTTTCTCTTTTAGTTTAATATAAACTTAAAAGACTTAGTAATTTTAGTGAATGACTTATGTTAATTTAAGATATTGCTCAACCTTTTTAGTGAGTAGAATTAGAATCTCATAATGGTCTCATAGCAACTATTTGGAATCAAAAAAAAATTCTTTAGTTTAGAATCTTAATATTTTAAGTATTAAAATATTATTTTGAGAAGAAGAATATTGAAATTTAATTTATGACAAACCAAAAATTATTAAATTTAGAATATGGATAATTTTATTGTAATGATTTTGGTAAAGAGTAGTCTATTGCTTTTATAATTTGGATTATTCAACTTTGAAGGAGTCATTTTTTAATGTTTAACAATTACATGGCTTTTAATTTTTGGATAATAAAACCATGTTTGTCATGTTTCTAATAAGCCAAATGTTTTTAGATTTGGAGCAAAGAAAAAAAAAAGTGGCCATTATTTAAGTTTAAATCAAGTATGCATGAACAAAAAATATAAATAGATAAATATAATAATTACTTTAACACTTTACAATTGTCTGTTCATTATTTAATTATTTAAATAAAACTATTCAATAGTGAAATATTTTATGAATAATATTATAAAAAAGACATGATAAAAAATATGGTGAAAAATTGATTTCAATACTTAATTGCATACTTATTTAAAGTGATATAATACCAAGTTAGTTTTGATGTGGGATTTTTTGATAGCAGTCTTTAATGGAATATTGTAATTTAATTTAATTTTCTTAATTTCAGTTACTTCTATATATTAGATCAATAAATATTTGTTGTCTCTGTCTACATAAATCATTGTGAATGGATTTGAAGTCTCTTATAAGCTATTAAGAGCTATAATAGTGTTTGAATTATACAAAGGTAATGATAGACCTTGTAAGTGAATGACAAGGTGTAAAGATCTGACATCACTGTTTGATTTTTATTTTAGTATAAATATGCGATTTTAGGTCATGAGTTGAAAACCAAAATATGGCATCAGAAATATAGATCTATATATATATATATATATAATGAAATTTCATATTATAAAAAAAATACTAGAAACTTAATTGACTAATAATTACAAAAATAACAAATATTAGAATATATGCCATATTCCAAATTAGAAATATATTTTTTAATTATATAATAATTTTATTATGATTTAATAAAATATATAGATGCTATTTTAAATTTGAAATATGGTATTGAATGGATTTACAAGTTTTTTTTCTTTTTTTTTCATATAATACAATTTATTCTATAGAAATTTATGATAATGGGACAGCGGTATGATTTTTTTAAGATGGAAATTTAACTTATAGAAATGTGAATTTAAAGTATTTATATAAGGTGTTGATTGTAATGAAAATAAATGTAAAAAGCAATGTGATGTTGTTTAAAAAGTAAAAAAGATAAAAACTAAAAAGAAATAAAAAATTATAAATATCATGTGTATATATAATATTTATAATTTATATATAAATATTTTAATTATATAAATTCATACCTCTATATACACATAAATATTTATGAATACATATATATATATATATATATATGTTCATGCATACAATTGTACACAAACAATATATATATATATATATATGTGTGTGTGTATGTATGTATGTATGTATGTATGTATACATAGTGTGTTTGTTGATTTAATTAAGTTTTGTAAAATTGAACATCAATTTTTGTATAGTACAACTTTTTTTTAAAGAATTTCAATTGTTGAATATTAATTGCACATTCTTCAAAATAAAATACTTAATAAAATAAAATAAAAATATGATATTTTAATTTTGTGTTAAAAAAACAAGTACACGTAGCATTAGTGTTTTATTTGTATTGGCACACATTAAAAAAAAAAACATCAGTTTAAGATTTATTTTCTTGCTTCAAGTACATTTTTAGCTGTAACAATGGAAGCAACTACATGCATCGCACTGTGCAAAAGCATCTGTTACAAAAAGCACCAGCAGGACTTAAAATATCTTTATTCGTTCCAACTTATATTGTCAAATATTCACATTAGTGGTAACTTTTTAATATAGACGCATCTATTGTGAAAAGGCTAATTTAAAGAAGATTAGGTCTTGATTTTAAATTTGCACCCACAAGCCAATATCATGCTAGTTCTTATTTCAGCCTGTGTAAAACTTAACCCACAATTAAAATAATAATTAAAATCATCAAAGTAAGAAAAATAATAATATTAAATTGAAGATGTTGAAACTCAAGCTCAATATCAATTCTATTTTTTTTACACACAGGATTTCAAAGACAGCATCCATATGATATTCGTAAAGTCAGCTTTTTAATTTCAGAATCTCACAGCAAAATAAGTTGAGACGAACGAACGAACGAGAATTGAGTTCGGTCGTCGGAATTCGTTCGTCGTCTTAAAGCGATGCATCGGCGTTGTGTGCACCTTTATGGTAGGACGAGGTTGCTGCTTCCGCGTGGGGTCTGTCGTCATGCAACATTTCGACCATTCAATTTGCAAGCGAGCCAGAGATCTAGTCTTCCGTCAATCCCAGCAAAAGAAAAAAAAGAAAAAAAAAAGAAAAAAAAAAGAATAAAGAAAGGCAGAATTAGTTTCAGTTGAACTTCTCGACGCGCAAGGATTCATTGTGTCACGCACAAATGTTCTCATCCTGTATCCGCCCAGTTTCGGAGAAGTCCAGGTCGATCTCACACCAAGCCCGATGATGACCTCTTCGACCTCCGTCCAAACGCAACCCGAAGATGATGTGTCGAAGTCCGGGTGGTGTGATCCAGATCGGTTACTCCCGCCATGGTGAATTTACTGGACTGACATAATTGGTGTCGATGAATATTTACACAGTGTCAGCGCATTAGGATGGGCGGGAAGAAATGCCGCCTTTAAAAACTTGAAAGCACCCTATGAATATTCGGACGGCGCGCAGGCCGATGTACATGTAGAACTTGGGGATAAACTGCCGGAATAGCATATTATATTCTAATTTTGCTTGTAATCGTCTCCCTGCACTCCGATCGATGCCTTTCGTCGAATTTTGTGTACACATTGTCGATTGGGAACACCCAGAATCCTAGTTTACAGATGGACTCTTTTTACTTCACGCTTTTACGCGCGGTGTCCCTTCACCATATCATTATTCTTGCGTTCTAAGTATAGCGGTTTTGTTTGAGAGTTTGAGAAGAGAGGCGTAGAATTCTTCTGTCTATGGTAGCAGCGGAGTGTGGGTCAGATTGAAGGAGATTCTAAGGTGAGTTTGCTTTTCCCTTCAGTTTTGGTGGTGGTGGTGGTGTGCGTTGGAGGAGGATGGGTTGGCGGCAGATTGGTGTGCGGAAAATAGCTGAGGGTATGTTTTCGCGGGTTTTTGGTGAGGTTTCCGTGGTGATTGTCATGCGAGGATGATTCATGAAATACAGGGTGCGTGATGCACTCTTTATTTCGTTCTTTCCTCTTCCCCTAGTTGCGTACTCTGGTGGTGGAATTTGTTTACCCAGTTTGGTGGGGGTTGCGGGATTGATGTCTTTCAACAGAGAGATAGATTGAAGAGCCTTTACTGAGGTTGTAATAGATCCTCCGGTTCCACTGGCGATGGTGTTGTAGCCCTTTTATCCTGTTGAAAACCGCGTCTAGCGTTTCTAAACGGATGAGAGTGCTATGCGAACCTAATATGATCGAGATTTGGAGTGGTTTGCAGATGCATTGTTGATTTTGTGTACACGAACATAGGTTTATCCCTTAAACTTCGAACTAGAGATGCTAGTGTCATGAGTACAATATTTAACCCAGGACTTTTGACTGAAGTTGCTGGTATGGAACTTCACTTCCGATGAGCAGATCGTATTGTGCATCTGTGTGACTCGAATATCAAAAAGGTTGATTCGGGGGATTGAGCGTTGTTGATGCAGTGGGTGCTTCATTGAGGATGTGCATGTGAGGCGTTTTCCCAACAAATTATATGGTTCTCTATTCACGTTACCTTAGTCATTTCTTGTGAAAAATCCGACATTAGCCTGCTTTGATTGCTATACTTGCAATCACCTCTTAAGTTGAATGAGGCTTACAGGGATGTAGTGAGAGTGGGCAATCGTGCACTCAGCGGTTCCTGAGTAAGCTTCTGTTTTCTCTTCTTTAATGCCCTTTGGATCCATGCATACTCGGGGATTTAAGGTGTATAACACAGATTGAAATTGTCAAGTTAAGATGAAAGGCGTTATTAATCTTGACTTTCTAAGTAGGTACACTAGGCTTATAAAATTTATCAGTTTAGGGATGATGTCTGGGCTGGTTGTGCTTTGATTGTTGTTGCCAAGATATTGACTACAGTACTGTACAATAGATGAGTTTTCTTGTTTCTTAGGATAAACTCTAATGAGATCTAGGGGCACCGCTAATACTTACTTTATAGACTGTGTTTCAGTGCAATCCGTATTCTATGTTCCGTCTTTCAAAAGTCTTGGCTGCTCGTACTCAGTCAAATTTTGGTTTTGGTTACATCGTGTGCATTAAGTTTCTGAATTTCTTCTAATTTAGGGTTTATGTTCGTGCAACGCGTTTGATCCGAGCTATTACCAAAGAGATGCGCTCAAAAAGTGAAAGCTGAGAATGTAGTTCAGTTAAGATTTCTTCCTTTGGTGGACATTTCTACATTGGCACAACGATCAGTTTACTGTTTTAACGGCAGATCAACCTACAGTTTTCTATGTTCTATCATTTGTGAAGCGGTTGGAAAAGCCGACGAGCTCAGTTGAACTCAATAGGATTTTTGTACTTACCGTTGTCGCACTTAAAGAATTCAGGATGGTCTTCACTGATAATCCCTGTGGAATCCAGACTAAGACAGCCTTGCGTATATTCTCAACTACATGCTTTCATTATTCGTTTGCCATCACTGATTTCTTTGATATATACCGGTTTGCACTGAACTATACATCAGGTTGTAACACAGTCTATACAGTAAGTATTGCCGGTAGGCATAGTTATTATGCTCTCAGCTGGTGGCTGCCTTTGCGCAGGAATTCAAACGGTCTCCAGTTCCTGATAACATGCTATTGACCAATTCGTCTCGAGTTTAGCAAGGGCAGAAACTTCTTCTATCAATGTCCAGTCAAATATGAGCAGTTATGGAACCAACATTAGTGGCTGATGTTGCTGTCCGCAATTGGAATTACAATATCAAACCTGCACAAGTTGCTGATGAAGACAATGATTTTCCTGAGTTCGAGTTTCCAGTTAGTAGTGGTGTAGGTACACTAGATGCTTGGAAAGCTGTATCAACGGCAGGTCAAGATGTGCAAACAGGAAATGGTAACAGCGCCTGGGGATTTCTTCAGCCTGGGGGAGCATTTTGTGATGAGTCTCCTAAAAAAATGCCACTCGCGTTCCATAGTAACCATGTTGAAGGAGTACTGGACTTGAACCCGTTCTTCCCAAGTCTGGTCACTGAACCTACAACTAAACAATGCTTGTCACCGGTAATCGCATACAAAAACTTGGATTTAAGTCATGAGGACAGTAAGGTGGACGTTTTAGGTGATGACTTTGCAGCAGTGCCTTCAACGCCGACAGGGAAGAGTTTTAACACCAAATCCAAGCAGACAAGGGACCCAGTAGCCGCAGCAGTGCCTTCAACTCCTGTCAGAAAGAGTTCAAGCAATAACACCAAGGTGGCAAAGTCCCCGACTGATGCAGTCAAAACACCTGAGCGGCCGAGGTGGAGTGGACCCTTGGGGAAGGTTCCAGGTGGTTTGAGTAGGCTCACAACCCCGAGAGAACGAAATGAGCCTCTTCGTGCCCTCTCACCCACTCCAGATCGTAGAAGCCTCACTGCTCCAAGAGGAAGAGAATTTGATCCTGGTCGTGTTCTTTCATCCACTCAAGACCGAAGAAGCCTCACGAGCCCACGACGTATACCCCCTGAACGCTCCAGATCCCCTGTACCTTTTCAAACGCCAGGTCAAGGTAACTATGGCGTTAATCGGGCACTTGCACCATCCCTTGCTAGTCCAAGAAGCGTCACACCTCCAAGAGGCTTTCCACCTGCAAGAAGTATCACTCCGACAAGAAGTCTAAGTACTCCTCGCTCGACATCACCTGTGTCACGGGTTCGACAAGAGCAGTATTCTAAACTGCCAAAGGAGCAATGGCAGGGGAGTACCGTAAACACGACTTCCATGCCGAGCTCACCAAGATACATCACTCCCACAAGAGCAGCATCGCTGAAATCTGTAAAGTCACCTGCAAATCCAAACGCTTGTCTGTCGAAGGAGCTGCAATTCCCCACGGCCCCTGGAAATGCGACGCTTTATAGGGACCCTGTAAAGCGAGCGTCGAAGGAGGCAAATTCAAAGATAGGCGATGACGCACTTACCACCTCAAAAGGAAAGTCATCTCCACCTCTTACACAGCCGATAGGTTTCAACTTTAAGACAGATGAGAGGTTAGAGAAGCGTCGCGATTTTTATGCAAAGCTTGAGGAAAAGACGAAGGCGCTGGAGGAGGAGAAGAAGAGACTCGAAGCGAAAGCTCAGGAAGAAAAAGAGGCCCAATTGAGAGAGCTTCGGAAAAGTTTGACTTACAAAGCCAATCCTGTACCAAAATTTTATCAGGAGCCTCCCCCACCTCCAGTTGAAATTAAGAAGACCCCGCCAACAAGGGCTAGGTCCCCCAATTTCACCGCCCCCCGACGCAGGAGTACTTGCATGGGAAGCTTTAGTGAGTCATCAAGCAGCGGATCAAGTCCACTACGGGGCCGCTTGATACGAAGTCCATCTCTTGAAAGCAACAGTGACAGCAGCCATGCTAGGGTGTCTCCTAAAACAAAACTGCCCTTTAAACCGATCTAGTTGCCGGCTGCTCTTTTCTGTCAACAACTACCTCCAAAAAACTTGTAACCCATTGCTCGAATGCTATTGAAAGATTTCATTAGGAGCCCGTTTTCATCTTGAAAGGGTTAGCTGTTTTCTCCCACAGGACAGAAAGTTCATTATGTGCACGGGATTTTGACAAAGTACTGTGTTTGTTTTCTTAATTTTTCGTATAGTTTCTTTTCTTTTTATTATATATATATATAGAGAGAGAGAGAGAGAGAGAGAGTTTTTTTTTTTTTTTTTTTTTTTTTTTCTGGAATAGGAACTTTTGTGAGACGGTTGAATGTGAGTGACATCACCTTTTTCTTCAGCTTGGCCACTACTTCGTTATCCCAGGGACATGATCACAGGAACTGAGCAGCGGAGGATTTCTGACCCAATTGAAGAACGCGTAGTCCAGGTACTAGAGATTAAAGAAACGGTAGAGGAAGTCAGCGCCGTTAGCGTACTTGGTAGTGATACTCTTTATAGTCATTAATGATTTTATCTACTTGTTAATTTTTTTTTTCTTAGTGTTGCTGAGGTTGCAGAACCCGCTTGCAAAAAAATTATTATACCAAAAATGAGTGAAATTAAATTTCAATTATTTGTTGATGTTTTTTTTTCCTAATAAATATTATTTATTAATTTGTTCAAATTGAAATTACATAAAATGCACATATCTGATGTATTTCTAATAATTTATCTATGCTAACCTATTTTTCTTTTTTCTTTTTTCTTTTATCCTGTTTCAATTACACATTGCAATTTTGATTGACATATTCACAATTTGTCTCAATATTAAATCGGTTAATTTAATTTAATTTAATGTTTATGTTCTATTGCACCGAGTTTTTTATTTTTTATTTTTGGGTGATACATGAATTATTGCTTACAGCTTGTTTATTAGGTCAGTGAAATAATATTATAAAAAATCATATAATATTTACAATCTCATTTCTACCCTTTACAGGGAAAAAAATTACTAAGATTTGGAGTTAATTTTGAGGTTCATTTTATCTAAGAAAGAAAGAAAAAAGTTTAAGGGTAGAGTAGAACACTTGAGAGTATTTTTTTGTTATTACAAAAATAGCAAATCCAAAAACGGTTTAGTTCAAGATTGTTACACAATTTTTTGTTTTCTTTGTTATATTCATAAAACTGTAAACCAATACAACATTGATAACAATCTGTTGTTAATTTGTCGCTCTCAAATAATTCTTCATCTAATAATGTAAGTATCAAAGAAACTACTAGCAATTTTCTAAATCCTTGAAATAAACTACAAAATACATAAATTAACACACACTGGAAAGTGTGCATGGGCTATTTATAAACAATGATATAGTATTAGAAACATTGAATTCAAATGGAATGAAGAAAGGTCAATCCAACAAACTATAGTAAGAAAATGAAAAATAGTGTGCTCATCATCACCACCGCTGACGTGGAACAAAAATCTCACAAGCGCTCCGTGACCCACCTCCACACGTGTAAAAAGGGTGGGAAGCGAGAGAGAGCAGTGGCGGTGTGAATAGGTCAATGACTGAAGTGGGACGTCGAAGGTGACGTGTGGCGGGGTGGGGGAGAAGGCGTGGTTCGGTGGAGAGGACGGGGGCGGGGGAGTGCTGGCTTGGCCGAAGCAATCAATTGCTACAGTTCGGCGACGGCTACGGCATGGCCGAGTGCCGTATTCTCCATTCCACCGCTCCAATTCTATTTTCCTGCGGACCGGATAACGATCCCCTGCCGTCTTCATCACCTTGCTCTCGCTCTCACAATTCCTCTATTTCTCTGTCTCCATTCGCGCTGCTCTCTCTCTCCCGCTCCCTCTTTTATTTTCTGCCTGCGGCTGCTCGTGCTTTGTTTTGGCAGTCACTGTCTACCTCTTGCATTTCTCATTTCCCGTCCCGTATCGCGTGTGGATCCTTGGAGTGCACCACAATCTTCTTACCTGTAAGTGCGTTTATTTGTACTTACATTTAGAACTCTGAATTTGTGTTTCATTAGTTGAGTGAGAGGGACTTGATCAGTAAGCCGAGGAGCTGTGGCGACAAATTCTTGAAGAATTTTTGATGTTGTCTAAGTGAGAAGGAGTATTGTGGAAACACATACACGCACACACACACCCTTTTGTACATATACATACTTATACGTTTTAAATTTCTGTCAATTGAGTTGATCTGTGACGGTATTATACTGCTGAAGAAGAGGTAGTGTTATGTATTTTTTTTTGTCGTGTTTAAATGGACTGTGTTACCATGGTTGTTTGCCCTGCATGCTGGTTGTGGCGTCTACAGTGTCAAAGAGCCTTGTGGTCTTGAATTCCGATGTTCCGGAATTTCAAGGGGTCTTGACGGTGCTGCGGGGTCTTTCACTGAAGTACAGTCAGCAAGCGATCGACGTGGGGTCATACGCACTTACCGTATCGTCCTTTTTTTATTTTAATAATTTACTTTACTGTTTGAAGAACTTTTTTTCGGATCTGTAGGCATTTAAAGGCAGCATTGAGAGGCGATGGCGAGCAACTTCATGAGTGTGCAGGAGCGTAGGATCGCGACTCTTTCAGGTCATTTCCGTGGCGCAGCAGCTGTGGAAGAGGAATTGTTGCAGAGGTTTCCCACGATGGCCATGGCTCCCTCTGTGTTTGAGCACGTTCAGCAAGCACCCGAGGATCCCATTTTGGGGGTATGTCCCTCTTCGAGCTCTCTTTCTTTGCGCTTCACTTGTTAGCTTAGATTTCTTCTCTTGTAGTTTTGTAGTTTTCCGGTTAACTCGTTGAAAATTGAGTTACTCTTTGAAAACAAAGATCGATGGTTTGTTTCAGTTTGTAGTTTTCTTTTGAGCATGCATGAGGGTATGTTTGTTGCTCTTGCTGGGCTCTCAGATAATATGTTTTCCGTGATCTAAGAAATAAGTTCTAAACACCGGATATGGTATCGATAACATGTTACTGACACAGAGACGATGTAGGTGTACGCTGCTTATGCAAATGAATTTGGAAGAACCTGCTTCAATAGAACCGTGATCTTTAGGTCCTGCACTTTGATGATAAATATGGCAGTGAAGCACATCAAACTAAATGAAAGGAAGTGTTTAATATACTGAGGGATTTCTTTGTCGAGCAGTTCTTCACGTTGAACATATGTTGTCTTTGAGCGCTTCTCACAGTATATCTTGCGGAAGGTTTCGTGGATGGTATTTTGAACATGTTGAAGTTAGAGGATGACCGGTTCAATGCCCTGTCTTGTCTTGTCATAGGTAACAGTGGCTTACAACAAGGATCCAAGTCCATTGAAGGTGAACCTTGGAGTCGGAGCCTACCGAACAGAGGTCAGTAATGGCTGGTTGTTAAGTTGAAGCAAGTTCTTTGAACTAATGATGTTATCTTTCCAGTTGATACCTGCTATTAGTTGTGGCATCATTATCACTCGTATGCACACATCTGGTGAAGTTTCTTTTTTGCAATTTCTGAGTACAAACTTAGTTCCTAAAACGCATGACATTTTTTTGTAATGAGCACAGGAAGGCAAACCACTTGTTCTCAATGTGGTACGGCGAGCAGAACAACAGTTGGTTGCAGATAGGTGATTTATGTGCTCCCAGCTTTTTATAACCTCCTTTTCTTTTTTCGAATACTCGTATATCCTCTTATTGTTCAAAACTAATCTCATCCAGTTGCGAACATTTGATCATCCTTCTTCTGATGCTCTTCAGTGTCTACTTCAGTGAACAATCGTGTTTATATCCTAGATCTGCAGCAATTTTATTCATCTATATGATTGTGTGGGAGCAGATCGAGGAACAAGGAGTACCAGCCCATTACAGGAATTTCTCAGTTCAACAAACTTAGCGCAAAGCTTATTCTGGGCGCTAATAGGTGTGTTTCGGTTCCTTGTGTCAACTTCCTCTAGTACCTTCGATATTGACCTAATTAACGATCTTCGTATCTATTCTTCTACTGTTGCTAAATAAGCATGCTTTTCTATGAGGTTGGCACCAGAACTTGTGGAACATGCTCGATCTAATAATTGGATGCTTCTTTATGGGCGGCCAGTCCAGCAATTGCAGAGAACCGTGTTGCCACCGTGCAAGCCTTATCCGGGACTGGTGCCTTGAGGGTTGGCGCAGAGTTCATATCGAGGCATTATGCCAAGGTAATGTTTTAGTCCTTTGTACCGAATTTGCGACCTATAACCTTTTTTTTTCCAGAGACGCTCTTAGTAAGAGCATATAGCAGCAAATGTTGAGAGATTACGCACAGGAATGGTGGAATATGTCATTTTGGTGGTCACGGTCTCGCTTTTGTATGCAGGCGTTTTTCTTAACAGATTTTTAGAGCTTAGACAGCTTATAAGTTTGCTGTTTATTGCAGCCAATTATATTCTTGCCTAATCCAACGTGGGGAAATCACAACAAGATTTTCCCGTTGGGAGGAGTGCCTCAGAAGCCATACAGATATTATGACCCTAAGACGCGCGGATTGGACTACGAAGGTAACTTATTTACAAAGATCTTTACATGGAATTGTGCGATTTTTAACTGAACAATCTGAGACTAGTTAATGAAGATGGAAAGTGGTTTCTAATCCACAGCAGACTCGAACCTTGATTTTGTATGTGCTTTGTGCAAGAGCGTACAAGTCATCATTGAAAAACATTTCTTCGTTCTCTTCTTTTATTTCTTTCTCCTTTTTTTCTCCTTTCTCTATTTGTTATTTACTTCATATGTTATGCCGGCCTTAAGTTTTTCATTCTCCTTACCTCCTTCTTCCTTTGTAACAATAATAACGATAATAAAAATTATCATATCGCTCCTCACGAGGTCCGATTCAAAATGTGATAGTCGTTCCAAACCTCCTAGTGATGCTGGGATGGTTCCTCCCACAAGGGTACGAGAAAGAAGTTGAAAGTGATAAGCGAGGTGAATATGCTGGCAGGTATGTTGGAGGACTTGAAGGCAGCCCCTGATGGCGCAGTCATTTTGCTCCATGCGTGTGCACACAATCCCACTGGTGTTGACCCGACTGAAGAGCAGTGGGAAGGGATTCGACAGGTTATTAGAAGCAAGCATCAGCTTCCCTTTTTTGACTGTGCATACCAGGTATTTTGTTACTATTGGATTCAATTTTGGTCATTTCTCACTTTATTTTTTTATTATTTTGAAGCCTTCATTTCAATTTTCTACATGACAGCACTAACGTGAATGTGTAAACGAAGGTTGTGTTTGCTCGACTGACGCTATTGTACTAGTTCACTTGTTGTTCCTGAAATAACCTTTGGAGTGTTCGCAGGGATTCGCTAGTGGAAGTCTGGACAAAGACGCCCATGCTGTTCGCTTATTTGTAGCTGATGGTGGGGAATGTTTTGTTGCACAAAGTTATGCTAAGAACATGGGACTTTATGGAGAGCGAGTCGGTGCATTAAGCGTCGTAAGTTCTTCGTTGAGATTATGTGGTTCATCATCGCCGGTTGACCGACTCACGCCAGGATCAATGTTTGCTGGAATCTTGTTCTGGATATATATCTATATATTTTTGTGCGTGTGTGTGTGTGTTCTCCTTGTTATTACGAACTGGAAGCATGTGCATCGCATAGGATTTTCCTATTTTCAATCAAAGTGAGGTCTTACATCGCTCGCTGTTGGACTCAGGTGTGTACGAATGCTGCTGTGGCAAGTCGGGTAGACAGTCAGTTAAAACTGGTCATCCGCCCCATGTACTCTAGCCCCCCGGCTCATGGTGCAGCCATTGCAGCGACGATTCTAGCTGACGGGTATTGCTTTTCTTGCCACCATGTTATTCATTGCCTCAAAATTATAAAAATAATAAGTGAAAAGAAAAAAGAAAAAACTGTTCGAAGTTTTGAGTCTTGCTTGCATTGAATATTTAGTTCTACTTATGAGAACTTCAGAAAATTTTCTCGAAATATGAACACACTAACAACATAGATCGATTTGAAATATGAATATGTAACTTAAAGTTTTTGGAATTTTGTAAAAGCTTGAGCGATCTCTTGTTGCTGTTCAGGCGTCTTTTCCAGGAATGGACGGTAGAGTTGAAGGGTATGGCAGATCGGATTATTAGCATGCGTCAACAGCTCTATGACGCTCTGCAAGCTCGAGGTGTGTGGTTCTTCTTGTACTATCCATGATATCTTGTCTCTTTTGTTTTGAATTGTTCAAATAGTTCACATTTTGTTACCCCTGTTTCTTTCTTTCTGTCGCCCTATATCATTTTTTTCAATTTATACCTCCTAACTTCCTATCCTCTACTTTGAAGCAGTCTGGAACATGTTCGTGTTGTGCGTTAGGCTATACAAGTGATTCACGAATGGACCTGGTTAATCGTCTATATCTAACATAGATTTTAGGACAAATGAATCTTCACAATTCATTCGCACATGGTGGTAATTGGATTCTTAAGAAGAGATTCAGAAGTGATTCTTAGTTCATAAATAGACTCGAACATTTTCTCAAATCTCTTTTTGACAAGCACTAACACTAAGTGCAAATAAGCCTTTTTAGAAAATTTTCAGCTGATTGGAGGGTTAACAAGCAGTTGTCGGTCGGAAACACATGAAAGCGACAAAACTTTATGTGTATTCTGCTCAAGTATGTGGTCCAACTTGCATTAAGTGATTTGGTCTCTTTTTTTCTTTGATATTCATGCAGGCACACCTGGCGATTGGACTCACGTTCTGAAGCAGATTGGAATGTTCACTTTCACGGGATTGAACAAGTCTCAAGTCGAGTTCATGACCCGTCAATATCACATCTACATGACCTCAGATGGGTACATAAAACATCACATTTATCACTATCCTGAAATTATTTTCCACTACGATCTGCGATCCAAATTTGGCTTTCACCTGTACAAGTGATTTTTGTACTAGTGTTACGTGCAATATGCTGGCTTGTTCTCTTCGGACTCCATCACATAATTAATCTCATGTCATGTTGTTTTACCAAAGATCATTTTTTAACGGAAGTATGTGTTTTTTCTCGGAGGGAGAATTTAAATTGGAAGTTTGATCTAGCATAAATCCTGATTTTTCTTCTCAAAATGTTTTAAGTATAATCATTGCTCACCAGTGATATGCCTTACAAAGACTAGTCAACTTTGATACTTTGATTTCTATCGAATACTCTTCGTTTTTGTAGACTATGTGGGGCTGATTCTAGCATGCTGGTTGAAATTGATCCTCAGGCGTATAAGTATGGCTGGATTAAGCAGCAAAACTGTTCCACATTTGGCGGACGCAATTCATGCAGCTGTGGTTGGAGCTCAGCGCAAGAGTTAGGTGTTGGACTTAAATTGTCATCGACCTGGTCAGCTGCTAGTGTTTTAGACTAATAATTTTAATAGCTCATTTGTAGGAGCTATGGCTATGATGGTTGGCACCAGGTACACGTGAGCGTGTGTATAGTGAGCTAGGGAGATAATTTTTATTAGTGGGTTCAGCAGCAATTTGGATCTCTTCTCGACTTCGAGAACGAGTTTTCGTCATGAATTTAAATAAGAGCTATAAAGCTTCAGAAACTGAAGTCCTTTCATGTTTCGCATCCTTACTCTTAGTTTTTATGCTAATATTTGTTGCAGGATTCGTAGAGTAGTTACAGGCAATTCCTGTCATGGAACATTAATTTACTCCATAACATGGAACTTGAAATTTATGTTGGGACTCCTTTTAGAGTTCAGCGTAAATGAAACAAAATTTTAACTGCCTTGCCAAAAATTCCATATCATTATCCATACTATTTGTCCTGTGGCTTGTTGATTATGTTACAGAATCCGAGAAGTTGAATAAAAGTTAGATAAGGTTCTTTGGCTTCCCAATGCTAACTGCATAATAGTTTTGTGCACTAGAAAAGTAGCAAAATGCTGTTATAATTACAGTAAAAATCTTGAATGAAATTATGATAATCTACTTATAACATATCATAATATAATTAATATTATTCTATGACCTACTTTTTGTTTTTAAAACATCAAATGAAAACTTAAAATTTTTCAATGCCAATAAAATAAAATAAATAAAAAAAAAGCTTAAAAACATGTTACAAAAACATTCTTTTAAGAGCTAAATATATTTTTCTAATTCCAAATAAAGAATTCGTATTGAATTTTTTAATATTTTATTAATCCTCATTTTTGTCATCATAAAATATAGTCTCACTTTATATTTTGATTTTTTTTGCTTGAGCCTTAATTTTTTTTCTTGCTAAAAAATCTCAGGTTTTTATAGAAATCTCAGGTTTAGAAATAAATTCTATATAGTTTTAAAAAAAAAAAACAAAAATTTAAATTCTTTTTTTTACAAGAGGCTACAAATATACATCAAATTAACAATCACCTATCATTAATCAAGATATGGAACAGAATAATAATAATGAAAATACACCTTTTCGATAATCCATTTTACAAAACTACTTTAAATTTTGATTGTCATTACTTTTTTTTCTTTAATTCTATGAAGGTGAAACATAAAACTCCGGCTTAAGAATTGGTATATTTATTGTTGTATATTATGTATTTTTGTACTAGTGGATATTAAATGTACCAAGGTTGTATGACCTATCTATCATGTTATTCATCATCATCAAAAAACTGTGCTGGTACTCCTTAAGAGAACAGTTCATATGTGCCAAAAACATTAATCCACACAAAACTAAAGCCAATCCTTGAAGAGTATGCAATTATGTACAATATTACAATAATAAGCATGAAAATTTTCAAAAGTACTTCACTTCAACAGATGAAAGTTTTATATATTTTGAATTTAGTCCTAATACTTGAGAACAGATTGAAAATCGTAAATTATTATTATATCAATAGCTTCAACTTTTATGAACTTCAGAAACACTAAATCAAGTAAGTAAAAACTAAGGATAGCATTTTTGAAAAATGATTGTTTTGGGAACGTTGTAACCCTGATTAGGGTTACAATGTTTATAAATGACCATCATTTGATGAATGATTTTTAGACATTTAAAATTCCAATGTTAATGTTTGTGTCTTAACAATATATACTTGCTTGTTTGACTTTGATTGTTTTGAATTAGTTTATCCATTAATCTACAAAATTTTGGGTAGTCTTTAGTACTACATGGTAATCAATAAGAATCTATGAACAAAGAGTTTTACATAAATGCAAAAAATCCCTTTCTTGGTTTGTGAGAACATTGGTAGAAGCACCAAATCTTGAAAACATGTGATGTGAAAGAGATTTTGTTGCTGATATAGTAATGTTTTTGAAGGAATTAGAAACTGAGTTTATTTTTTAAAATACTCTACTATTATGAATACATATTTGGTATCCTCAAATATGATTGTGAAGGGGCTTGAAAATTTTCAATTACATTTTTATAATGAATAATGGTTTAAACATTTGCTTTTGTTTTTAACATGCATGTTTTCAACCTTGCATCTATCATTTAAAACATGCATGTTATCATGTGATATAGCATTGGGTGCCAAATCCCATCAAATGTTTGTAGTTTAGTTTGGTTAGTGGTTTTTCATCCATTGAGATTTTTCTATTAGTTAATTTTATTAATGTCAACTAGGGTTTGGATACTTAAGTGGAGAAAAACTTTTGACTTGATGTTCTTATTAAGTCAAGTCTTGTAAGTGATTTTGAGAGAGAGAACTTATTATGAGAGTTTGCTTAGCTGTGGTGATTTAGCCATTTTAGTAAAGCTTTAGGATTTTTTCTATTCTTCACACTTGCACTCTTGGATTCCCCCTTTGTGGTGTAAGTGAAAGCTTGACTTAGTTTTGTGTAGATTGATGATCTTTCACTTGACAAGAATGTTTTTTCCTCTTCAAATTAAAGTATAATAGATTAAGATGGAGTAGATTTTATTTTATTTATTTTATTTAATTTATTTTTTTAAATTACAAATTTTGGATTATTTTTGCTGCTAGATTTTGGAAACTGCTCGATTATTGTGCTCGGCACTAGAACCCAACTGGGTTACGTACTATGATATTGTAGAGGTATTGCGACGGAATATGGAGGCGGTTCGGAATAGCAGCACAAATCGCCAAAGTACAATGTCGCAACGCTGGAGGATTGCGATAGGAGGATGGCAATAAGGTCACGGCACTGGACAGGGTCGCTACACAAAAATAGTTGCTAGGCGATCGTAGGCAACATGCAAACAAGGTGGCTAGTTTGGGTCGTGGAGCTCGGTCGCAAAGAACAGTGTGTAGCAAGTTTACTGTGCGGTTAGGGAGAGCAAAGTGGCCGTCAAAACGATGCATCATAGGGTCGCATTGCAAGGCGCGAACCATTCTATTGAGAGATACAGCGCATGTGTGGAGCTTGGTCACAAGGAATTGTGGTGCGCTAGGTAATTCAGCAACGAGTTGTGGCCATTTCTTGTGTCTGTTCTATTGTTTTAAGTGCGATACAGTGTGGTGTGATTTGGGGTTACTATTGCGGCACACAAATTTGGTTAGGTAGTTTATTTGTGCACATATTCAATTGTGGTGTGACAAAAGGATGCGACAAGATTTGAATCGTGGGGCGCTGGATTAGTGCGGAGCAGCAATGTAGTCAATGATTTGCGACGGTGAGCTGCGGCTTGCGGTGTTCCTCTGCGCTTCGTTGCTTCGATCTACAGTCACAAAATCCAAGGTAAAAAGCCTATGCAGTGAAGGGGTCAGCACGGCAAAAGGTTTTAGAGCAGTCATAGAAACCAACGGTTATAAGATCAAACGGTTATAGGACAAGTGCGGTTATAGGACATGAGCGGTCATAGGGCTGTATGTATAAATAAAAATAAATAAAAATACATTGTCCAGAACTCTTAAGTGTTAAGTTTGGAAGTTCACTCTAAGAGCATATGGAGTCCAAACTTGATCATTTTTTTGTCAATTTTATGTCGAAGAGGCCCAAGGAACCTATTGGAATTTTTGGTTTTTAGAGTGGAGATCATTTGGAGCTTTAAAGTGGCATTTAGTAAATACTAATTGCTTTCTTAGTGAGTTTTTAATTTTCTCTCACTTCTCCACATTTCATTTTACTGCAATTGTCTTTTATTGTCACAAGTTTTGTGATTTATGACCATTAGTAATAGGCAAGTGCCAATTGCTTTGGTTCATTTTTTATTTTTGCTTTTGTGTTGTTGAAGATAAGGATTTGGTGTGGATTTTTGGATTTTGTTTTTGGCACCTTTTTTTAGTTGCGGATATTATTTTTAGAGGTTTTTTGTAGTTACCCCATTTTGTGTTTGTATTAGTTTATGTTGATAGGTGTATTGTAAGAATGAGGTTGGATTGATGGCTGATAAGATCCTTCTCTTTAAGGATATGTTAGACTTATAGTGATTTGGAGGTGATTATTGATGAACTACAAAACTTGGTAGTGATTGCAAGCATAGGTTGCCATTTTAGCCTTTAAATAGTTATAAGTATCCAAGTAGTTCTTTTTATGGTACATACTAGAAATCATTATTAATAATTACTTTCACCAAACTACTTGAATAATGACCACATCCAAAAGTTTGGACAAGTGGTGGATGTTGATGAGGCTTTTCAGCTTGTTTTAGCATTGGATACCATTAAGAAGATTTTGGATCTTGAATGTGGATACATTTTAGGAAATGGAAGACAATCCTTATAGCATAATGAAAGATTGGTTCTCATGACAAATTAGGAGCTCTTCTTTGCTACATTGTAAGCTTAAATTTCAGACGTGGATGAAAGAAAAGTATGAAAGGTCTCTCAATTTTAATAAGTGGTATGCCTTTGAGCTATTATTACAACATTTTGAGCATGAAGCGCTCCAAATCTATGGAAAATAGAATTGAATATTTACTTGAGTTGTAGGAAGTAGAGAATTATTGAGAAGTAAGAATAAAACTTATTTTAGTTGTAAAGGAGGGTGCTATTTCAAGTCTAATGCCTATGGTAAAAGAAGAGGCTCCACTCCAAAGAGAAGTTGGTACATCTTTGAAATAAATTAAAGAACAAAGAATAGCCATTTCCTTACACAACACTCTACTAGCTTTATCACAAATGACTCAAGTAATGAGAGTGACTTTGTTTGCAATAGGAGAGCCACCATGATTTGAGCCTCTCCAAATGTTTATTAAATGCTTGAAGCATGAGTATGGAGGTTTAGGCATGATTAAATGCAACACATTAAAGACTTTTGACATGAAAAAGAAGATACTCCATATACTATGTATACTTATTTGATTTGATTGGTTGTAGAATCAAGAGGTATATTTGCTAAAAGCCAGCTTATCAAGATTTTCTTATCTAAGATTAATAGGAGACTCTTAGATATAGACATAGAAAAAAATATTTTAAACTACGATTGCAAGACCACATTGGCACAAGCATTTACAAAAGTTAAGAAATATAATAGGGTCATTTATCAACATGATGCTATTGACATAATTGCTTAGATGATAGATGTGTATAGGCTTAAAAAGATTGCAACTGTCACAAGTAGCTTAGCAAAAACTCAACTTGAAAGAATTATATATTGTTGGATGTGTGATAAATGTGATCATTCCAAAAATGATTCTAATTGTCTTAAGAAGAAAAAAGCCTTATACATAAAGAAGCCTAAGCCAAATGGAGTAATGATTGAGATATGACATAAATCTAATAAGAAAAAATTGAAGTGTATTGATTATGATAAACTTAAGTACAATGAGGATAATTGCTTCATATCACATTCATACAAGTGACCTACTTTTAATAAGGAAAGAATCTTAG